TTGTTTAATGGGTTTTGCGTCACCAACGTCTACATCATGAGGTGGAACCTTCGCTTCTTTGGGGACATCCCCAAAAATAGAGGGAAATGTCTCAAATAACTGAGACAATCTATGGCTTTCCTCTGTGGACAAATGCATAAGGTGGACCTTCAAATTATCTAAAAAGGAAGAATTTACCAATTTTGGGGGTTTCAATTTATCATGTATCACATCATCAGAAACATTTGAACATACAGGTAAATTAATTTTAGCTGTGGAATGAAAATTGTTACAATTATCATAATATTTTTTCAGTGAGTTAACATGATACACTGTCTGTTTCTTTCTTCTGTCGGGCGTATTGACAACATAGTTCAAATCACTTAATTTTGAATGCACTGTAAAGGGTCCACAATATCTCAAGGATAACGCATTGTTCAGATTAGGTACTAGCACAAGAACTTTGTCGCCTGGATTGAATGTTCGTTTACAAGAACTCTTATCATACAGTTCTTTCATTCTAACTTGGGCCTTTCTTAAGTTCTTGTGAGCCATTTCGCACACGGCTTTCAGTCGAACGTGAAAATCGTCGAAGTTTTCCACTGGATGATCACTGGTACCTGTCCAACGTTCGTGTATCAGCTTCAGGGGGCCACGGACAGAATGTCCAAACACAAGTTGAAAAGGCGAGTAGCCTAAAGAGTCCTGGACACAGTCCCTCGCGGCGAAAATAATCCAAGGAACAGACTCATCCCATTGGGTGTTACTGTTAGCGAATGTCCTTAGCATGGTTTTGAGGGTTTGGTGGAACCTCTCAAGTACGCCTTGAGACTGAGGGTGGTAGGCTGAGCTGGTGATGTGGGTAACGCCTAGCTTGGCTAGCGCTTCCTGAAAATGGTGACTGGTGAAGTTGCTGCCTTGATCTGTTTGCACGATTCTAGGTAATCCAAAGGTAGTGAAGAACCGGGTCATGGCTCTGACTACAGTCTTTGCCTTAATGTTCCGTAAGGGAATCGCCTCGGGAAAACGGGTACTTGAACACATAAAGGTAAGTAGGTACTCGTTGCCCGCCTTGGTTTTAGGCAAGGGACCTACACAGTCCATGACGATTTTAGAAAAAGGTTCTTCTAATACAGGAATCGGACTCAAAGGGGCCTTAGGAATTGTCTGGTTTGGCTTTCCGGCCAACTGACAGTTCGTGCAACTTCTGCAGTAACGCGACACATCTTTTCTCATTTTGGGCCAAAAGAACAGTTCTTTGATCTTCGCCGTCGTTTTAGTGACACCTGGGTGCGCTGACATTGGATGGTCATGTGCCAGCTTAAGTATTTCTTGCCGATAAGGTGGAGGGATCCACAGCTGGTCTTTACCCAACCATGGTTCGGCCGGTGAGGCAATCACTGGTATAGCGCGACGAAAGAAGAGGCCATTCTCGGCGAAATATTCTCCATCGTCAGATGATAGAGATTTTTCGACCGTTGCTTTGAGTTCCGCGTCGACTTGCTGAGCTTTAATGATGTCTTCCTGAGATATCCTCAGGGGTAAGCCCAGACTTGTGTTCTCTGGAAGCATAGACTCCAGTTTGGGAGTCGAATTTCTTGACGATGATGGCGGGTGTGGTTCAGACGTGATGTCAGCCAATTGTTTGGTCTGGCTTCTTGTCACCGCACATGCAGGATACAGTTCATAATCATTATCTGGAACTGTTGACAAAGGGTCTGAAACCGTACAGGGGTATACTTTGCTTCCCGCAAGGTCATTCCCTAGAAGTAGGTGTACTCCTGGGACAGGAATACTATCTATCACACCTAAAATGACCTCACCTTCGACGAGATGATGTTTCAGGGCAAACTTGTGTAGAGGGACGACAGTAGATTTTGTCCCCACTCCCTGGATAATGGAAATCCTTCCGGTGTTCGTTTCTGGCGTAATGTCCATTGAACTTTTCAAAAGGAGTGATTGTGACGCTCCTGTGTCTCTTAGAACGGTGATATTCTTCTGAGACAACGGATCACCTGGTTTGCTAATGATGGCTTCGGCCATAAAAGATGAAAAGTCAACTTTTCTCGATCCCTCGAGATCGGTAGACTCGGAAGAAACTGGATGGTGGCGAGAACAGTCAAAATGTGACTGCACATAATGTGTGGAGACTTGACTACCTTCTTGCGGACACTTAGGGTTAGAGTCCTTTTGAATTCTAGAGTTCATAGTTGAACTGGCTGCTTGAGGGGATAGAGCATAGTGCGCGGAAGTACGCACCACCTCTCTGTTATTCTGAAGACGTTTGTAACAGTCTTTGACAAGATGACCAGGTCTTTTGCAGAACTGGCATGCTGCTCGACGATTGAGAGTTGATCTTGGTTTCTCTCTGGACTGTGATGCCTTCAAATGTTGGCCAACAGGATGATTGCTGCCAAAAAGGGGAAGCACGGGGTTGAGGCGGTTTCCTGACACTGGTGGTTTCTTATGCACCAACATATATGTGTCAGCCGACTCAGCAGCCTTCTGGATGTCAGTTATCTTGTTATCCAGTATGTGTAGTCGTATCTCTTCAGGCAGGGACGATAGGAATTCTTCCCTTAGGATAAGTGACCTGAGTTTCTCAAACTCAGAAACTTCCTCAGAGTGTAGCCACCTTGAGAATATTTTCTCCTTTTCAAAGAGAAATTCCACATATGATTGTGTGGGTAACTTGCGGAGTGTTCGGAATTTTGTCCGATAGGCCTCGGGCGTCAGTGCGTAGGCCTTTAAAATGGCAGTCTTGACCAAACTATAGTTATTTTGAACGTCGTGAGAGAGTGCCTGGTATGTTTTTGCAGCTTTCCCAGTAAGGACAGAGCTCAATAAAGCAGTAATGGAAGATTCGGGCCATTCACATGTCTTCGCTAAACTCTCAAACGAGTTAAAGAAAACGACCAAATCTGTTTCATCAAATTTAGGCACTAATTTCCCAAATTTGGCAATCACTTGCCCCACCGACAACTTTTTTGGATCTACCAGAGAAGTAACATCACTAACTTGACCAAATTCTGATTCCAACCTCCTCCTATCTAAAGCAATTTTAACCTTTAACTCCTGTTCTTTTAATGCCTTCTCTAAAGCAACTTTCTCCTCACGAAGTAATACACCAGCCAACAAACTTTCATCAAATACCCCTTCATTAATGAAATGAACAACAATTTTATCTCTCAACACTTCTGACTTCTGCGTAACAGAATAATCCAATTTCAATTCCTTAACAACACTAACCAAAACTTTTCTACTCAACTTTTCTACATCTTCAAAAGTAGGATTAGCCAAAAAAGACTCCATAACACTAACTTGAAAATCACAACAAGCCTAGATCCTTTAAATTAATACACAGCGTTGGGCCGTGTACTTGACCTCTAAATGTAGGACGTGACACGTCTGCTTATTTGACCTAGATACTCTAGCCTGAGCGCGCGTTGTAAGAACACTGCGCTACTGGATATAAAAACAACTAAATCCAACTAACCTTAGTATTCAACTGATATAACCAACAACTGGAACGACAGATTAAATCCCGGACGAGCCCCCACTTTGTAACGTTAACCTATCTATCAGCCAAATAGAAGGAGAACGTCCCCGGATTCTTTTTTCGGGGTCATATGCAAATGCCTTACGGCCTAAGTGGATGAACACTTAACACAACGACCACTAGGGCTCGAAATTTAATGTCTAGGGAAGCTAGTGATACTATTGTAATTAACACTCATCCAATCTACATACGACCTTTTAATCAGCGAACTCAGAAGTGGCAGAACACAAGGTTGAACTAAATAAAATATTTAATGTATAACATATCAAAACCCAACTTACACAATGTAGGAAAAAACACTATCACAGATTTCTACACTGTCTTAAGAAACAGCTACAGGCCACACAACACTGCTGTAGTTTCTAGAATTACTTAGCGACAAGTAATATTAAACTAGAAGACTAAATCAACTGAAGAAAGCAAGGCACACACAGGTCTTAAGTACTCTCACGTTCAAATGGTCAGAGTCTATAGCCGGACAATGTGGACGGCTGCCTGACCAAGGTAAAACTGCCTCGTAGACTGCCAGGTCAAGATAAACTGCCTCGTGTTGCGAGTGTGCGGGGCAATTAAAGACTTCTGTGACAGGGGAGGTTATCCTCAACTCATGTCGCCATTGGTTGGGATAATCATCTGATCAGAATCATTCAATCAGATTTTAATGGAAATTTTCTATGTCTCAAACACCTTAATAGTCAGTGGAAAAACCCCAGGTGTTACACCATCATTCCATATAAGGAATTATACAATGTCAAAATAAAAATGACTCGACCTAAGTAGGTCACAGATACAACTGAGTGATGTAGGTTAAAACAAGAACATTAGGCACATACTTGTTAATAAGATCTGAGTGATGTAGGTTAAAACAAGAACATTAGGCACACACTAGTTAATAAGATAAAACTGAGTGATGTAGGTTAAAACAAGAACATTAGGCACACACTAGTTAATAAGATACAACTGAGTGATGTAGGTTAAAACAAGAACATTAGGCACATACTTGTTAATAAGATCTGAGTGATGTAGGTTAAAACAAGAACATTAGGCACACACTAGTTAATAAGATAAAACTGAGTGATGTAGGTTAAAACAAGAACGAATGTAATGTACAATTTTTGAGAGCGTGGAGTGATGGACGTTAACCCTGGGGATAATTCTTGAATTCAAGGTAGACAACTAGTAGAGCCCAGGACCAAGGTAGACAACTTGTAGAGCCCAGGACCAAGGTAGACAACTTGTAGAGCCCAGGACCAAGGTAGACAACTTGTAGAGCCCAGGACCAAGGTAGACAACTTGTAGAGCCCACGACCAGACGTGAATGATGGGAGAGAAGATTAGAACGACAGGACGACCAGAACAAATATACGCAATGAAACGTGCAGGTTTATTTATGATCTGGTGGTAGGCTCCAGATTTCAAGTGACCAATCGACTTATATAACACGTGTACATTGTGACCTTACCTAACGAGCCTGGCTCCTTTGGACACACGTCCATTTGTGTGGAATATTCCCGCTTCAGTTTCAAGTGGTCGACCTTCAGTTCGCTTCCTTCTAGAAATTGTTTTTTTATTTCGTTGAAGTTCTCCTCGTATGCTAACGATATATTTGTTTCTTCACGCGACAGCAGCGCTTGCATGTGGCTCTCCTCTGTTCTGTTCAAGTCTCTCAACTTGCTCACCTGAGCTGTATCAACGTGTAATCCGTTAGACCATGCGCGAATGGCCTCCCTAGAATAAGGTTGTGAGAGCTGCTTCGCCTTAGGAAGGTTTTCCAATAAGGATAGATTTAAAAAACTGGAACCATTGACTCTGAAAGTTTGCAGGCCGTGTTGCTGAGCTTGGCGAATGATAGTTTGAACTCTTCTAGCATAGAGTTCACTGTTTAATTTCAAGGCTGCTTCTTCTGGACTCATGGAGTTTTCCCGCATGAGTTTAGCCAGAGCTTTCTCTAACTCACGCACTTCAAGTTGGGCTTTTTGCCGTGCGCGTAGTTTGGCAGACGCGGCCACCGCAAGCCCTCGTATCGTCTGGTCAGGTTTTGGAACTTTGTCTGCTTGAGGGACTGGTTCAGCGTTCTTAAACTTGTGGGTGAAGACAAGAATTTGTCCAATGGAAACCAGTACCAGAAGAAAGCAACCAACAATGACGCTCATCTCAGTCAGCGTCCGGCTTTTCTTCATTTTCATCATCAGTTCACGTGGGACTGGTTCGTGTGGGAGTAACGCTCGTGGATGGATCAGCTAAGAGAACACAACTCCGGTTATAACGACACAGTAACACCAACATCTTCAATCAATTGAATATAACGCTCCCACCAGTTCCTGTCGGAGTTGGCCTGGAGTCTAGAGAATACACAGAATAATGTCCAGACATCCAAAAGACACAATGTATAATGGCCACAAACACATTGCACTAGGGCAAGCAGCACATATACCCACAAATACATTGTGTATTTCAGTGTTGAAGACACAGCAACAATGTCAAAAATATTAAAATTAGACACAGATATTTCTCCTATATATTCTACATTGCTTAAAATAAAGTAAAAAATTCATTGATTTAATGTCATCTGAATGTCATGTTTGTATCATATTTACCCAGTTGCTCATCTTTTAAAGCGTAAGCCTATGTTAAAATCAGCTTAGTGAAGTTGAGTCTGTCTGATAAGGTAGTCGTGTCCATGCTAATTGATCGAGTCTCCATTAAGGCAATTATGTTTTGTACAACATAAACTTGACAGACCGCATTCAGTTCTCCCTTACAGACGTCTATTGAACGCACCAACCTACGAGACACGATACACTTCAAACTTCCCTATGCATGCGCAATCTGTGCAAACAACAACTGTAACATTTAACACATCAACCACAACCGCTACCAACCAGTCAACACCCGCTACCAACCAACCAGTCAACACGCGCTACCAACCAACCAGTCAACACCCGCTACCAACCAACCAGTCAACACCCGCTACCAACCATTCAACAACCGCTACCAACCAACCAGTCAACACCCGCTACCAACCATTCAACAACCGCTACCAACCAACCAGTCAACACCCGCTACCAACCAGTCAACACCCGCTACCAACCAGTCAACACCCGCTACCAACCAGTCAACACCCGCTACCAACCAACCAGTCAACACGCGCTACAAACCAACCAGTCAACACCCGCTACCAACCATTCAACAACCGCTACCAACCAACCAGTCAACACCCGCTACCAACCAACCAGTCAACACGCGCTACCAACCAACCAGTCAACACCCGCTACCAACCAACCAGTCAACACCCGCTACCAACCAACCAGTCAACACCCGCTACCAACCAACCAGTCAACACCCGCTACCAACCATTCAACAACCGCTACCAACCAACCAGTCAACACCCGCTACCAACCAGTCAACACCCGCTACCAACCAGTCAACACCCGCTACCAACCAGTCAACACCCGCTACCAACCAACCAGTCAACACGCGCTACAAACCAACCAGTCAACACCCGCTACCAACCATTCAACAACCGCTACCAACCAACCAGTCAACACGCGCTACCAACCAACCAGTCAACACCCGCTACCAACCAACCAGTCAACACCCGCTACCAACCAACCAGTCAACACCCGCTACCAACCATTCAACACCCGCTACCAACCAGTCAACACCCGCTACCAACCAACCAGTCAACACCCGCTACCAACCAACCAGTCAACACCCGCTACCAACCAACCAGTCAACACCCGCTACCAACCAACCAGTCAACACCCGCTACCAACCATTCAACACCCGCTACCAACCAACCAGTCAACACCCGCTACCAACCAGTCAACACCCGCTACCAACCAACCAGTCAACACCCGCTACCAACCAGTCAACACCCGCTACCAACCATTCAACACCCGCTACCAACCATTCAACACCCGCTACCAACCAACCAGTCAACACCCGCTACCAACCAGTCAACACCCGCTACCAACCATTCAACACCCGCTACCAACCAACCAGTCAACACCCGCTACCAACCAGTCAACACCCGCTACCAACCAACCAGTCAACACCCGCTACCAACCAACCAGTCAACACCCGCTACCAACCAACCAACCAACCAACCAACCAACCAACCAACCAACCAACCAGTCAACACCCGCTACCAACCAACCAGTCAACAAATACTAACAACCAACCAACCAACCAACCAACCAACCAACCAGTCAACAAATACTAACAACCAACCAACCAACCAACCAACCAACCAACCAACCAACCAGTCAACACCCGCTACCAACCAACCAGTCAACACCCGCTACCAACCAACCAGTCAACAAATACTAACAACCAACCAACCAACCAACCAACCAACCAACCAACCAACCAGTCAACACCCGCTACCAACCAACCAGTCAACAAATACTAACAACCAACCAACCAACCAACCAACCAACCAACCAACCAGTCAACACCCGCTACCAACCAACCAGTCAACACCCGCTACCAACCAACCAGTCAACAAATACTAACAACCAACCAACCAACCAACCAACCAACCAACCAGTCAACACCCGCTACCAACCAACCAGTCAACACCCGCTACCAACCAACCAGTCAACAAATACTAACAACCAACCAACCAACCAACCAACCAACCAACCAGTCAACACCCGCTACCAACCAACCAGTCAACACCCGCTACCAACCAACCATTCAACACCCGCTACCAACCAACCATTCAACACCCGCTACCAACCAACCAGTCAACAAATACTAACAACCAACCAACCAACCAACCAACCAACCAGTCAACACCCGCTACCAACCAACCATTCAACACCCGCTACCAACCAACCATTCAACACCCGCTACCAACCAACCAGTCAACAAATACTAACAACCAACCAACCAACCAGTCAACAACTACAACCAACCCCCCTCCCCTGTCCACAAGCGTCTGCTTACGACCAACCCCCCCCCCCTACCCCCATTGTGGACGTTCACAAAAACTTAGTAGACCCTCAATGCAAGCTGCTAAATTATTAATTCATTTACATGCAATGTGTACATTAACTAATAATGTAATAAAGGGATTTGATATTTTCGGGAACATCTATTATTGGCCTAAATAATAATTGGGAGTTAAACTTTTCCAAGATGTCCGTAAGTCTACGGTGTATTAACTTACCGTGTGAATGTGCTAACACTATTTAAAATTGTTGTTTGTTGAATGAGTGGTCGCGCTTGTACGATGTGTACCCTGCCTCTCGATTTTAAAGGTTTTTTTTTTTTACCCACTATCTATCTTCTATAGGCCCTATATATAATTCTCTTCTTGGAGACGTTAGAAAACAAGCTGTAAGCGCGCCTAGCAGTCCCCTCTCTTCCTCTCTAGGCCCACATCGTCTGGTGAGCTGTGGTTCACGCTAAATGTTTACAATCATAGAGCCGGGTTTAAGGACGCCTATTAGGGGGAGATAATTTAGTTTGAAACTATTTTAAACTTAGGGGAGATAACTAAGAGGAGGCTGCTTTCACGGAGGGGGGGGGGGGAAGGGGGGGGGGGGAGGAGGGTTTTAGTGTTTTAAAGCAAATATTTTCAGTGACAGCATTGGTACTGTCGAATTCACAAATTATGAATTACTGAAAAGTAGAAAATAAAACTAAATAGCGGCGTGTGATACACCGCGGGTCGGCTCGTTTGTTATAAAGAGAGAATACAGGCAGTCATACATTTTTAAAAAAATTGAAGATGCTGTAGACCGAACTTTTGTCATTTGCGGCTGTCAAGCTATCAACGACTATATGGGTTCGGGTAAATTCGGCTAATCAACGTAACGTCATTACGTTAATTCAACTTAAGGCTGCATATGTTTCCATAACAAACTGCCCCCCCCCCCTTTTTTTATACACACCTGACCAAGCGAGCACATAATACACGCGCTGATATTTAAATATCTAATTGCAACGTGGTTGTTTTGAGTTTTTTACTTGAAAAAAATGACTAGATCTACATCATCTTAGGCTTCGTCACAAAATAATGATGTAGGTCTACTATGAGTAGGTACAATTGTTTGAAATGTTTAAAAATAAACTTGAAATACCATGAATCGTTTGAAATGTTTAAAAATAAACTTGAAATTGTTTTAGAAAATTGATGCGGTCACTGCCCCATCATTTGCCCTATAGACCGTCAGGTTTGAAAAGGAAACTTTACTTTTTTTTTTACACTGCCCCATCACTTGCCCTATAGACCGTCAGGTTTGAAAAGGAAACTTTACTTTTTTTTACACTGCCCCATCACTTGCCCTATAGACCGTCAGGTTTGAAAAGGAAACTTTACTTTTTTTTTACACTGCCCCATCACTTGCCCTATAGACCGTCAGGTTTGAAAAGGGAACTTTATTTTTTTTTACACTGCCCCATCACTTGCCCTATAGACCGTCAGGTTTGAAAAGGGAACTTCACTATTTTTTACACTGCCCCATCACTTGCCCTATAGACCGTCAGGTTTGAAAATGAAACTTTACTTTTTTTTACACTGCCCCATCACTTGCCCTATAGACCGTCAGGTTTGAAAAGGAAACTTTACTTTTTTTTACACTGCCCCATCACTTGCCCTATAGACCGTCAGGTTTGAAAAGGAAACTTTACTTTTTTTACACTGCCCCATCACTTGCCCTATAGACCGTCAGGTTTGAAAAGGGAACTTCACTATTTTTTACACTGCCCCATCACTTGCCCTATAGACCGTCAGGTTTGAAAATGAAACTTTACTTTTTTTTACACTGCCCCATCACTTGCCCTATAGACCGTCAGGTTTGAAAAGGAAACTTTACTTTTTTTTACACTGCCCCATCACTTGCCCTATAGACCGTCAGGTTTGAAAAGGAAACTTTACTTTTTTTACACTGCCCCATCACTTGCCCTATAGACCGTCAGGTTTGAAAACGGAACTTTACTTTTTTTTTTACACTGCCCCATCACTTGCCCTATAGACCGTCAGGTTTGAAAAGGAAACTTTACTTTTTTTTTTACACTGCCCCATCCATTCCCGCTGGTAAAAAATTGCTTTTTTTTTTAAGTGAATGGTAAACAGCTACATTACTGATACATTTACCACGAGAACTGCCGATTTAATGTAAAATCTACATTTAATATCCATTTTTTAAATTAATTTTTTAAATGATCAAATGTAAGTATTTTATGGTTTAATTCCGCATGTGGGCGTCCACATTGACCCATGACCCCCCCCCCATGACGCGTCCACAGAAGTCGATTGATTTCGCCATCATATATGGATGCCTCCTAAGCTATCTAACTAGCACATCCATTTAAGACCATCTACACAGCACAATCTTTATAACAACCTTACGCAGCACATCTACGTAGCACCATCTTCATGACACCCCTACATAAGACCA